GCACGCCGGCACGCCACACACCTGCACACTGCACACCTGCACACCACGCACGTGCACACCACACGCTGCACACCTGGACACCGCGCACCTGCACACCACACACCTGCACACCGCACACCGCACACCTGCACACTGCGCACCTGCACACCACACACTGCACACCTGCACACCGTGCACCTGCACACCGCGCGCCTGCACACCTGCACACTGCACACGCACACTGCACACCACACACCTGCACACCGTGCACCTGCACACCACGCACCTGCACACCACATACCTGCACACCGCGCACCTGCACACCGCGCACCTGCACACCGTGCACCTGCACACCATACACCTGCACACCGTGCACCTGCACACCACGCACCTGCACACCATGCACCTGCACACCTGCACACCACGCACCTGCACACCGCGCACCTGCACACTGCACACCACACACTGTACACCTGCACACCGTACACCTGCAGCAGCACCCCAGCAGGGACCTGCCAAGGCAGGCTGCCCTCAAGGGTGCTCCCCCTGCCCTCGTCTCACGGAACACGTTATGAGCATCCGGAGACTTGGCGCAGGAGCACAGACACGGCCTGCCGCGGGCCACCTCACGCACACGGTCCAGTCTGCTGCAGAGGATCTTGGCGTAACAGGTGTTAGGGTCTCTGCCGGCGACCGTCCACTCCAGGGGCCAGAACAGTGTGTGATACACCTGGAAGACAGGAGGGGGCGCCAGATCACGCACACGCAGCCGCCCGACATGCTCACCTGTTCCACACAGGAGCCGGCACAGCATGAGAGGGCAGTAATGCTGAACCCATGTGTCCCGGGAGCACCGGCGGAGCGCCCGCCCCTGCACACGTGTACTCGCCTGTACTTGTTCAGCTCTGCCATAGGGCACGTGTGCTGGCCAGAGACAGAGACAGGGAGGGAGGGAAAGTGAGAAGTGGCCACACCACAGCCCTCCTCCCCACTCTCCTCTCGGGATCCCGGGCACATACGTGACCCCAGTGGTTTTCCAGCTGCAAGGTCTGGGACTTGAACCACACACTCAGCCATGTGGGATCTAGCTGCCTTAACCTCCACGCCCCTGCTAGCCCCCGGCCCTTTACTTTGTCTGACTCTTAGTTTGAAATGTCTGCTAATGAGGGCCCGCAGGTGGTGTGGTGGTTAAGAGTTCTAGATTCCCACATGGCCGACCGTGGTTTGAGTCCCGGACCTGGTGGTTGCTTTCTCATTTTTCCTCTCTCGCTCTGTCCCTCTCTGGTCAAATAAAAATAAATACTGCTAAATGAAATAATTCTTACAAAACGGTCTACTAGTGCAACTCGACCTGCAGACACTCCTTGGGCACAACTGATGCAGGGTGGGCCCGGCCTGGCATGGGCTGTGCAGGACCAGGCTGAGGCCCGGCTCTGAGAGCTGCCAACCTTGGCACACCGAACCCGGGGGGCAGAAGGACTGACACGGCCCAGCCGTGCAGACAGCGGACAGCAGGGCGTGGACATGGGCCCACAGCCCCCATGCCAGCCTGCTGTCCTCCGGGGCCTTGCCCGCTCCCTGTGGGGGCCGGCGCCAGGCACGGAGCCCTAGCCCACTCAGCCCTCCGCCTTCTCCCGTGTGCCCTCGTCACCCCACGCAGATGGCAACGTGTCTACTTTAACACACCCTACCCAGAAGCCTCCGTTTTAAACATCAGGGTGCGTCTGCTGTTGGCGCACGTGCAGTCGCAATTCAAAAGGCATGCGGCTACTCGTCACAGAGACGGCCCAAGTTGCACCCAAAGGTGAGAACAGCCTTCCACCTGCTTTGACACAAAGGTTCTCATCTCTGAGCTACTAAAAAGAGAAACACTTCACCTCAAGTTCGGATTTCCAGAGATACACCTCTGGGTTAAGAAAAGGGATGGCCAAAGTGTGAGGTCTCAAACACGTGGGTAAGAACAGCGAGCCGTCCCCGCGCCCTGGCCCTGCCCGCCTGAGGGTGAAGGCGTGAGCCCTCTCACGCCCTCTCCTCGCCCTGGCTGCGGCATGCTGAAGATCCTCGAGGCTCCGACCCAGTGGCAGCTGCCCTGCAGTGAGAGCTCAGCCAGACGCGAGGGTGCGGCTCCCACTCCTCTCCTAAGGCACCGCGGTCCCCGGCCTCCCTCACCTCGCTTCTCCCTCTCTGTCGCACTGGGAGGGTGGCGGGAACACACCGGCCCCGCTGCCACCACGCGATGAGGGGAGACAGAGTCAAGGCTGTGATGACGGATCGGGGCTGGGGACCTTTCTGGGGATCCGGACAGCCCACAGCAGGCAGGCCGCCCGGCCCAGGCTGACCAACGTGACTGGCGCCAGCCACACAGAGGGGACAGCAGACCCCATCCTGCCAGCCCATCACACGCCATCTCCACAGGGCAGGCCGAGAAGCCCCTCCCAGGCCAGGACTGCCGCACCAGCCAGGAGGGCAGACGGCCACAGCTGGCCGCCGTGTGCTGTCCAGGGGCATGTGGTCTGGCCATGGGAGGAGGGGCTGTGTGTGTGCACACACACATGCACACAGACGTACATGTGTGCACAGAGACACACACGTGTGCACACACACACACACACACACGTGCGTGTGCACGTGAAAGTCGAAGAGGAAGTTAGGCGGGCCTTGCCCTCCTGGCCCTGACCCTGCCTTGACACGGTCCCCTCTGTGCTGCCAGCACCTGAGGGGCCGTGTCTGCTCAGGCAGGCGCCGTCCCTCGAGACTCCAGAGCCCCAACACGCACCCACCGACCCCCGCCCCCTTGCTCCGCTGTGCTGCTCTGAGCTACCAGGGAGCGGGGTTCGGTTCACTCTCACTCTCCCACAGTGGGCAGTGGCCTCCTGGGGCCTGACGTTCCGGCTACTTCCAGAACAAGACGATCGACCGCACAAACAGCTGATTGGAAAAGAAATTCCTGGGCCAGCCGGGTGGCATGGAGGTTCAGGAGGTTGGGTCCCACATGCCCGACTGCATGGTTCAAATCCCGGACCCAGGGGCTTGGAAAACATGCCAGGAATGCGTGCACACACATGTGTGCATGCGTGTGCACGCCGCGAACACCGAGAGGAGAGATGGAGAAGGGGCTGCGGCGAGGCTGCCCCACATGGTGGCTCCCCCAGCACCTGCCTGTCTCTCTCCCGGGGAGCACGCACCCTCTGGCAGAATTAAAGAAATAAATTTGTCAAAAGGGAACCACGGACACAGCGTTACCTCTAGGTTCTCTTTCTTGTACACCTCGACAGCCTCCTCCTCCGACAGCCCACAGCAGCCGTACTCCAGGGGCGTGAACACGGTGGTCGGGACGTTGGTGTAGTCACACTGAAAGGCAGACCGACAGCGTTCACTGATTTCGTGTCTTTTTTAAGAAAAATCTGTACCACAGACACATCTTTACAGAGTGAGCCGAGCCTCCCTGTCCCACACCGGCCCCCCTCTCGCTCCCATCTGATTACACCGCAGCTTTCAGACGGTAAAACCGAGCCCCAGAACTCTGAGCCCACCGAGGCCGCACGCCAGCTGGGCGCGGGAGCCGGGGCCGCCCTGTGTGCCAGCTGCTCCTGCCCGTGGCAGCGCAGGCCGGCAGGGAGCCTGTCCTTCCCTGAGTGAGGGGCGGGCGCTCCGCCTCCCAAACGCCTTTCTCTGGGGCGGGACCTGCCATCAAGGCGGCACCTCGGAGACGCACCTTCTCTGTAGAGGCCCCGAACAGCCGGCGTGCGAGCAGCCTGCCTGCACGTGTGGCGACGGGGGTGAGCTGGGGCCTGCCCTCCGCCACGTCCCCGATGGCATAGACATACGGCACGTTGGTCTGCTCCTCGTCGCTCACCGGGACCCTGCCGCTCCTGCGGGGAGGAGGGGGCGCACCAGACGCCTGCACTGCGGGTCGGGCACGCCCCAAGGCCGGTGCAGGCAGGACACACCGCTCTGCGACTCGTGTGCCTCAGGCTACAGCTCCCCGTGGGGCCGGGGCGCGAAGAGCGAGTCGCAGTGTCGGCATTC